TTGCGCCGGTCGTGCCCGCCGGGCCTGGACCCTGGCCGAGCCCGACGTACTGTGGGTTTGCTGGGGGCTGGCAGCTCCGGTGTGTCCACTCTTGGTGCCCAGGGCGCTGCCAGCACGTCGGGGGCCCTGTGCCCTGCCGTGTCTCCCCCTGCGTCCCTTGCGCCCCATGCACTGCAGGCTGCCCCTGAGCCCGGCTCTGTCTCCCAGGACACGGCTGGGGGAAAGGGCAAGGAAGCGAGCAAATACCCCAGCAGCCGGAAGAGCCTGGGGGACAAGGCGGCCGCGCGGGTCGCCAAGGAGAAGCCGCCGAAGCCGGAGAAGCCCAAGAAGGAGGGTGTGAAGGCCAGGGTGGGAGTGCTGCAGCCCACGCCCAAGCCCAAACCCAAGCCCAAGCCCGCCAGCCACCAGCAGACAGTGATCCGGGGCATCACCTACTACAAGGCCAGCAGGCGGGAGGAAGCCGAGGGGCTGGTCAGCAGCCGTGGTGAGTACCCGGCCGTGCAGAGCAGCTCTGGGCTGGGAGGGGGCACCTCGCTGGCCCCAGACTCAGCCTCTTCGCAGCGAGCTCGTGGGCACTGCGGGGTTTTGGGACCAAAGGGCGTTGCATGCTCAGCCAGGCCGCTTTCCCCACCTGAGCTCACAGCAGGATGGGCAGAGCCGTGCTCAGCTGGGCTGGCCGGGGTCTTGCATCCCCTGTGCTGGGAGCCCCTCTGGCCGGGCTGCCTCCCCCGGGCCAGGCTGGGAGGAGCAGGGCTGAGCCGGGGCTGCCCCACGCTGCCTGTGGCTCTGGAGCCTCGGGCCAGCAGGAAACAGGAGACTTCCCGCAGGGTGTTGCGCCGGCGTCCTTGGCCCCGTGCGCGGCTGCTTGGCGCTCCTCCCCTGAGCGGTCCGGCAGCCGTCCGGGCTGTTCTGCGAGCGCGGCCCGGTCCCAGCGGACGGCCCCGGGGGGCAGGGGCTGCCACACAACTGGCCCCTCTGCACAGGGACAGACGACTGAGCGGTGCCGGCAGGCAGGGCCTGCCACAGCAGAGCTCTGTGTGTGTGCATCTCCCGGGACCGGTGCAAATCGGAGGGGACCGCACACGGCTCGGGTGGGTTTTGCAGCAGAGCTGCTGGGTCCTCTGCGCCAGTTTGATCCCTGGAGGATTCGGTGGGTCCGGGCGCATCCCCCCCAGCACCCCGCGCCCAGCGCTGCTCCTCCTGGCTGCCCCGGGACAGGGCGCTGTGATGTCTCCTGGGGGGGCTGCGGCAGAGCAGTAAGGCAGGGGCTTCTTTCCTCAGAAACCCCGTTGAAGGGGGCTCCTTGGCTGGACCGGCTGGAGGAGAGGAGCCCGGAGACCCACGCCGCGGAGGAGGCCCAGTCCAGAGTCAGCGAGCGGGCAGGGACCACGGCCACAACCACGGCCCCCACCACCTCCACCACCCCCACCACGGTGCCCAGTACCGTGCATCCCTCCAGCTCCACCCCCCGGGCCTCGTCGGTCATCGTCTTCTCCATGGGGGGCGACAGGCCCGAGGGCACCGAGGGGCCGGAGGCGCCTAACCGAGGTGGGCAGGGGGCACCTCACCCCTTGGCGAGTGCGGGTGTGCAGAGCAGACCTGACCCAGGGCTGAAGCAGGCAGCCCCCTCACTGCAGGGCATCTCCTCCAGCCCCCCAGCTGGCACGGAGCACCCCGGAGTGGGCAGGGTGCCAATGCTGCAGCCCCCTCCCCGGGGCAGGCCAGAGGTTTCTGGGCAGGAGGGAGGCTTTACTTCGGGAGAAGCAGAGGACGGGGTGGCAGGGGCTGCAGAAGCCAGGAGGGAGCAGTGTCCATGCTTAGGGAGCGGGGGAGAGGGGGCTTTTCCATCGGTGAAAGGCAGGGGAGTGGGAGTGCAGACAGGAGCCCTGGGGCAGTGTCTGGGCGGGCACGTGGGGATGGGCCGTTAACGCCTCCCATGGGCTCCGCAGTGAAGGAGGCAGACTGCGAGGGCACCATCGAGTCGGTGGAGCCGCCCGTCAAGCACCACAGCTACGGGCGCAACGAGGGGGCCTGGATGAAGGACCCCGCGGCCAAGGATGACCGGATCTACGTCACCAACTACTACTACGGCAACAACCTGGTGGAGTTTCGGAGCCTGGACAACTTCAAGCAGGGTGAGGGGCTCTGGGGATGTGCCGGAGGGGGAATGGGAGGAGGCTCCCCTTGGTGCCATGGGGCTGGGTGCTGCATGCACAAGGCACGAGCCAGTCCCTGACCCAGGAGGTCACACACTCAATGGACAGGGCAGGGGCGGGAGAGAAACGGAGGCAGAGGGAGAGGCAGGGACTTGCCTGGGGTCACACAGCGGGTCAGCGCAGAGCTGGGAATTGAGCTAAGGCCTGTGTCCCCGTTGCTGGACCCGCTTCCCCCCACGCACCCGCTGGGGGCTAGCTCCAGCTCGTGACGGCGTGAGCAGCATAGCAGTGACAGAGCACGGGCCGTTCTCTCACGGATCCTGGCACACGTGATGCTGGACACAGCTGTCCCAAGCATGCACAGAAGGGCTGGTCACAAGAGGAGTCCTCTAGACCGCTCCGGGCCGTTGGCCAGGCTCGCGTGTAGGGGCTGGCAGCGAGCGGGGGCATGCGAGCCGGCTCCGC